ACAGTGAGACTCTGTCTCAAAAAAAAAAAAAAAAAAGGAACATTCATATAACAACAATAGCTGCCCTTTTTCAAACCTAGTGTGTACTTGCCATGGGGTCACATGCTGTCTACAGTCTGTAGAGGTTTTTCTAGTCCCTTCTGTCACCAATTTTACAAAAGTTAGGAGTCTGCTTCCTCAGACAGGGAAGAGAATTGCCCAAGGTCCCAGCTGGGGCTGTCACATACGGTGTTGCAGGTTGCGCACTGCACAGCTCTAGGGAACACCATTCATACCGTAGATATCATAGATTCACGGTGAAAAACTCCTGGCAGATGGCAGTAAAGGGTCTTGAGGAAGCCGGGTGTGGTGGCATGCATCTGTAGTCCCGGTGACTCAGGAGGCTGAGGCAGGAGGATCGCTGGAGCCCAGCAGTTCGAGGCTGCAGTGAGCTATGATGATGCCACTGCACTCCAGCCTGGGCAACAGGGCAAGACCCGTCTCTAAAAAAAAAAAAAAAAAAAAAAAGAGTCTCAAGGAAAAAGACTTTTTTTTAACTAGCCCCAAATTGCCAGTGTCCATTATCAGGCCACCTTTTGCATAGACCTCAATGTGCATGGTGCCCCTGTCGCTGGTGGCAGTGGCAGCCTGGCCTGTCCTGCTGGCATGGAGCTGGGCAGAGTCATGTCCTTTCCCCTCCATCCCGCCCCAGCACTGTTGCTGACGTGGGACATCGTGTGGCCATGTTTGGCCGGAGCTGGATGTTCCTCCTTGGTGTAGCCCGTTGACACGGGGACGTGCCGGGGAGTCGGGCCTGTGGTCCTCTCCGGAGCCCCCAGGCCCAGCCCCGGGAGTCAGGGTGGGAGGGACCACTTGGCGCCCACGGCCGCCCAGCCCTGCCCGGCAGCTCTGGCCCGGGAGGAGGTTCCAGAGTGCCAGCCGTGCCCACTGACCTGTGCCCCCACCCAGGGTGGAGACCCTCATTCCGATACTACAGCAAGTGGGCGGCGCTGTTCGGGGCGGTCGTCTCCGTGGTCATCATGTTCCTCCTCACCTGGTGGGCGGCCCTCATCGCCATCGGCGTCGTGCTCTTCCTCCTGCTCTACGTCATCTACAAGAAGCCAGGTGCGTCTCGGCTGCGGGCTCGGCCGGCCTCCCAAGGGGACGCGCCCACTCAGAGCGCACATCTCAACTTCTAGCCACCCCTGGGCACCAGCACCCGGGAATTCCCTGCTCGAAGGACGCCGAGTCGGCTTCCAGGGCCGGCACCTCTTGCCCAGCCCAGCCTCCGAGAGGGCCCCCCTCCGGTGTGCACCCCTAGGCCTCAGGGGCGGCTGTTGGAGGGCAGGGGGCCAAAGCTTGGACACTGGGCGGGGGTGTCTGCACGCATGCAGGCAGGGGCCCTGGGAGGACAGCAGAAACAGGACTCCAGGAAAGCCTAGAATTCTAAGTCGGAACCTGGGCTTCCAGGCCATCGTGAAGGTCTGTGTGGCAAGGAGGAGATTTTGCAGAGCTCGATATCTTGATGTATAACTTCTAAACATGCAGCCATGCGGTATGTGCATCGGTCTCCAGCCCTGCAAACGTGAGGAGCCGAGCGCGGGCCGTCCACCCCCAGGCGGCCCTACTCCCTCCCTCTGCACGTCTGGGCTCCTCTGGGGAACCCTGATCTTGCTCTTACCCCCTCCAGAGGTAAACTGGGGCTCCTCGGTGCAGGCCGGCTCCTACAACCTGGCCCTCAGCCACGCCGTGGGCCTCAACGAGGTGGAAGACCACATCAAGAACTACCGGTGAGCAGAGCTTCGGGGGCTCCACCTGGGATGGCCCCACCCTGGGGGGTCTCCGAGCCTGCACCTGCCCCCTGCCCCAGGCTGGGCACAGCCCCACTCAGGGGGGAAACAGAGGTGGAGGAGAACCACCCAGCCATCAGGAAGAACCAAGCAAGTCAAGGGACCTCTCTGTGCCTCCCTTTCCACAGTGGAACACGCTCTGTTGTCAGGGCGATTTGCTGTTGTAATTCCCATCGTGACAATCCTTGGGGCCGATGGTGACAAACCTCCCCTGGGTGCTCTTCAGAGCTGACTCCGCCTTTGGCAGGAGAATTACGCACCTGCTGTCCCTTCCCACCAGATGCGACAAAGATAATCGGGAAATATCTGTCGCACTTACCCTGAGCCAGGTGCTTGCCAGGCGCCTCACACAGCCTCGCAGCCCTCTAAGGTCCAGGAAATCGCTAACCCCAGTCCCAGACGAGGACACTGAAGCACAGAGACGTTAAGTAACTGGCCCCAGGTCACACAGCTGGTGAATTGCTGGTTAAGTCTGGCTCCGATTGACTCTGGTAGTGGCCTTTGACCTCTGCCCAATGCTGCCTCTCGACACACAGGCTGAGTCACTTGCCCAGGTGATATGGTGACTTTAGAAGTGACAGGCTACCTTACTGCCAGTCTTTATTCTTCCCACCACCATGCTGGGCCGGGCAGGGCAGGGAGGAGCACCAGGTGGCGTGTTTGGTGGCTTCAGCAGGAAGGACAAGGGAGACCCAGTGTGGTAGCCACCAAAGGAGCTGGGAGGTGCCTTCAGCGTCCAGACCCCTGTGGACCATCCTCTGATGGCCCACGCCCTTTTCCCTTCCCCCCTCAGCCCCCAGTGCCTGGTGCTCACGGGGCCCCCCAACTTCCGCCCCGCCCTGGTGGACTTTGTGGGCACCTTCACCCGCAACCTCAGCCTCATGATCTGCGGCCATGTGCTCATCGTGAGTGCCCCCTGGAGGCGGGGCAGGGTGGTACGCCCGAGAGAGCCACCTGATGCCATGTCCACTCTCCGGGCAGAGCGGGGACCACAGGGTGGGGGACGTGGAGCAGGCAGAGCCCACTACAGACCCAGCTCCCTCCCCTTCCCGGCCCCTCTCCCCACCGCCCTGCCTCTTGCCCGTCCCTCTTCTCCCCTCCTCCCCCTTCCCTCCCTCCTCTGTTTCCCTCCCTCAACTCTTCAAAGGAAAACGGGCACTTCTAGGTGCTGCTGAGCCCATGGGGCAGCCCAGAGCAGGAGAGGGGCTGAATCTGGGCCGAAGGGTGAAGGCAGCCCCTGATGTCACCTGCCCTGCCACCCACAGGGACCCCGCAAGCAGAGGATGCCTGAGCTCCGGCTCATCGCCAGCGGGCACACCAAGTGGCTGAACAAGAGGAAGATCAAGGCCTTCTACTCGGATGTCATCGCCGAGGACCTCCGCAGCGGTGTCCAGATTCTCATGCAGGTGCCGTGGGTTTGGGGCCCTCCCGACAGGACTTACGACTTGGTGTGACAACTTGGAAGGCAGAAAGTCCAGGGGGTCGAGTTGAAGCCCCTTCTGTGGCGACAGGAATCCCATCTTTCCCTTGACCCAGATGTGCCCGTTCAGGGCACTTTCTCGGAGAGCTGTGTGACCTCGGCTGGTTCCTGTTCCTGTTTTTACTTTTTAAAGATGCAATTCGCATACACTAAAGTAAAACACATTAAAGGTACAGTTCGACAAATGTTTACATACACAGACACCACCCAGTAGTGTGTGGCTGCCACTAGGATCAAGATCTAGAATGTTCCACCAGACGATTCATTTGACTACTCAGTTTTCCCATGTGTTAGATGAGATGCATGGATAAAATAATAACAATTGTTCATTCTGAGTCAACATATGAGAATCCTTTTCGATAGTTTTAAATATTTCTCAAAATTGAAGAGAGTATATGGGGTCTCTTTTGGGGTGATGAAGATATTTGGAAGTAGACAGAGGTGACGGTGTCGGGAACATACTAAACGTGGTGAATGTACTAAACGCCACTGAATTGTACACTTCAAAATGATGAATTTCGTTACGTGAATTTTACCCTCCAATTTTTTTTTTGAATTTTAACATAAAAAAAGAAGTATAAAAGATCCATGTATTAGATGACTCA